ATTTGAGGTGTTATTGTAAATATAAGAATTTAGATAAACTATAATTAGTAAGTAAAAATATATTAGTAAAAATAATTATATATTAAAATTAAGATAACTAAATATTTTAATTAAAATTAAGAAAATTATTTATGAAATTTAAAATGTAATTAAAAATATATCGTAATCATATTTTCCAAAATGAAATGACAAATATATGGAACGGCCGGAAATAAAAAATATGATCAAATTATATGGGATGGAGGGAGCATTAAATAAGGGCGCGGATCAAGCACTACCAAAAAAAATGGCTATTTGTAGCGGCTTTAAAACCGCTACAAATGGCCATTTTTCGTTATAAAAAGCTATTTGTAACGATTTTGTACCGGATTTTGGCCGGTGGATATACTCGAGTTACAAAAGGTTTATGTATCGACATTTTCCGTAACAAAAAATGGACAGTCAATGCGCGTGAGAAATCTTTTGGTAACGGTTTTTGTAACGCTAACAATGTTTTTTGATTTGTTTGTAGCGGATGTTTCTTGTAATAAAAGAGTCATTACAATAAATGTTCATGCATTTGTAATGGCTTTTGTTACGGTATAATTTTTGTTACAATAAACTGATTGTCAGAAAAATATTTTAAACGACATTCATAATTTTCTGTACCGGTATTTGTAACGAACACAATTTTACAACAAAAAGAGTATCCTTATTTTTTTAGTAATAACAAAAAAAAGGTATCGGAACCGAAAAACAAAACTAGTTCGCAATACAACCATTAGTAGCACCAAGTACGCACTGTCTAGGAACATAACTAGTTCGCAATACAGCCAACATATACTATCCAAAGGCAAAGCATAGCAACAAACACACAAAAGGAAGCAACATATGCAAATTCAACCTACGTAAAGGACTTAGTCAGTATCAATCCACAAACAAAAGTTATCATCATAGAATTACATGCAACGCTGCATCGCCCCATGCAGCATCAAAGTGAACATACACGGCAGTTACGCGTGACGAACGAGTTGCCAACATAGTGAAAATTTATATAAGAATTTACTTGTGAGTTGGTTAAGTTATAATCTAATAGAAAGCTATAAAAATGGTTACGTACATCCTTGAATGTCCAGTCGATTGGCTCGATATGGACAAACTCACAGAGTGTTTACACTTCAGATATCATTCGTGAATTAGCACAACCTCCGCAACAGTAGCAGCCGTGAAAAAAAAAACCTTTACTATATTAATGGTATAACCTACGTACATATAAAGAAAACATGTGCATATCATCGAAAAGAAAATGCAACTCACAAAATTTCATTATCTTAAAGCGGATGATCGATACTGCAGCATTAATAAATATACAAAACAATCATGAGCTAACAGATAGTCACATGTGGCTTCAAATGCATACTGACAAAGTATATAAAACTTAGTTCTGAGCAATATAAATTTATTATGCTCAAGTTCAAGACAAACATGTTCAAACAATACAGGTAAATACCAAGCCCCATAAATTTTGGGCAGACAAATTCCCACAAACAAAATAATGCAAAAGCAAAAAATTCATTTTCAAGAATCCCAAAATAAATCCATGCAGTTGATTAGATTTTCATAAATCAACCAACAAATTTAAAGACCCACAAATTAGAAACAGATGCATGTAGCTCCTTTCACTTGGCCTAGCTCATGATATAAAAACAGGTCATTATAATGATTACCCATTACACTCAATGTGAAAAAACTTATGAAATCATCAACACAAGCAATCCATAAAGTTAGTGAACAATTTCTATTGTACCAACCAATTGACAAATAATAAGTTGGACTTCAGCTAGCGATAAGTTCATACATGACTACCGCAACAAATAAAGAAAAGTCAATCTCCACAACTGAATTGTCAAAACACAAGCTTGATTACACTTTTGCTTTACTACCTATATGAAAGTAATATTTCCTAGTGATTTTGATAATTTTCATACCTGAAATAATGTCAATTATAGTCATAATGTCGTGACTAATCAAATCTGCAAGAAATATTCTGCTAGGATTAATCCAGTATTGATGTCTGCATCCTTGTAGAAATCCAGTAATGATTATAGAATAAATTTGTTGGTAGATAACAATGCATAATTGACAGGAATAAAAGATCAGTTTTTAATTGAATTTGTTGATACATCATAAGAAAACAGTCGAGGCAGTGCTTGCTTGCTTAGCAGAAACGTGTCCCTATATACCAGATGAACAGAGGCATAGCATCATGAGAGAGTTTAAAGAAAATAACAAAGAAATAATATTTAAAAAGTGAAATTTTAGTTAATAATAGCTAATTCATACACGATAACATTCTACACCATTAATCCACACTTCCAAAGAGCTAAACAACATAAGCAAATTAAATCTGGAATATAAAATAAATTCATGAGCGGCACTTCAATCAAAATTGCTCAAGTTCAGCCCAAATTCTTGTTCCAAATTAGATACAAACCTCATATACATAACTCATATCATATGCAAGGATAAACAAATAAAATGAAGAATATGAGTCATGAAATCCATAATTCATTACAAAACCTAACTGTATATGTCACAATATTATCACCAACTGGGGGTTTACCCAGTGCGCACTTTCGGGTAGCGACTGCGGATTCCCACGTCATCCAAAAAAAAAAAAAGATAATCTCACACTTATAATAAAAATACCAAAAAAAGTAATGAAGAATGCATCCAAATCATCATATTAAAAATAAACCAAATTAACAATCATTGCCATATAACTATCATAGAATAATTTCTTTATTTTCGGCAGTAACAACACAACTCACAATCGTAATCATAGAAACATCCACAATGCAAATCCAAAAATAAATCAATGAAAATAGCTATTCTAAAATTAATAGCTATTCAATACTCATAGAAAAAAAATCCACCACTACAAAAAAAAAAAAGATACATTAGCGAAGGATTTTTGTAAGGAATTTTATATCCCTCGCAAATACCGATGAATTTTGTTTTTATGAAAAAATTTTGTAAGGGAATTAATTAATTCGTAATTAACGAACATAATTTGCAAGGAATTTAAAAATTCTTTGCTATTAGCTAAGAATTTTGCAAAAGATTTATATTCCCTCACAAAATTACAGATTAGTATTTTTATTAATAAATAATATTTTTAAATTATTTTTAAAAAGGATCGAAAGTAAAAAAAAAAAAAGTTCTGAATAAATTTTAGATTTTATTAAATTAATAACAAAATAATTATTATGAAATTTTATAAAATATAATATAATTTTTTATTAAAAAATACAAATATTTTTAAATAAAAAAATAAACCTATTTTTATATAACAAATAAAATACTTATTTTATTATATTAGTATTATCATTTTTTAATATAAAAAACACATAATAATATAAAATAATTTTAATTACAAAAATATTATTAAAATTATTTGTACTAAACTTCTAACCTAGCCGCCACCCTTCTATCTTTCTTCTTCTTCGTCTTTCTTCTTCTTCTTGTTCTTCGTCGTCTTCTTCTTCTCCTCTTTGTTTTTTTTTTTTTTTTTTTTCTCCAATCCATCTGTTAAGAAGAGTTAAAGTTCTGATTTGCAATTATTGGTTTTGTTATATGTTCATAAGATGTCCAGAGTTTCGAATTAACCCTATATATGATATGATGGAGGAGAGGGTACCCGAAGATGAGCTCTAAATCCTTTGGTAATTTATACATGATCTGTTTTTAGAGTTCTTATTCTGATATATATATATATATGTGTGTGTTTTATGTCTGATTGTGTGTTTGTATGTCGTCTCTTCCTGTCAAGAGGTCTTCAAATTGCCTTTTCCATTAGAATTTTGTATAATTGCTATATGAACTAGGATGATTATGTAAATTTAGGTGAAGTTCATGCTAGATTAAACTTGAGGAATAAATTTGGAAATTGAATTGCTTTCTTGTTGTCAGCGTACAGAAATGGGGCTTGTTACCTGTTGTTAGTTTCTATACATCGAGGTACTTCGTTGGGTTATATTTTCTTATTTCTTTTCCAATGCATAAGATTTTGCCTCACAAAAAAATCATGTCATCCGAATTATGCTCAAATCACCTCCAGCTGGAAATCCACATGGATATATATGGTTGTTACATCTCAATCACTAAGCAAGCAAGTTAATTCTTGATATCAGAATCCTCTGTTTGATGGTAAGCTCCTTGCTCACAATTAATGTAATTAATTATTTTTCTTCCACCTATTATAATTCTTCGTGTTCGTGTTGAAAGATACCTTTGTGTTTTCATTTCTAAGTTTATATATGTATAGCAATTTCTAGGATTTACAAGCAATGCTTGTTTGTTTGTTAATTTGGGGGTTTTGTTGTCCATTACTGATACACTACCAAAAAAACTGTTTTCTATTACGGCCGGAAAATCGTAACAACAAGCCATATTTCGTGCAATTTGCGTATTTGCTACGCCTTTGTTACGACTTTTTTCCGTAATGTGTACTCGCGTAACGAATGTTTTTTGCCACGCCACTTTTCGTAACTATTACGATCGGTCAACGCTCCCTGAAGTATGGTATTTGTTACGATGTTTGTTACGAATTTTCTCTCGTAACGAAAGGTAGATCCTTCCGCGCGTGTGGCAGGACTTTTAGTTACGGTATTTGTTACGGAAGTTCCTCGCGTTACAAGTGTTTTCCATTGACCGGTTGTCAGAACTTGGTTTTTGTTACGACTATTTGTAACGGCATTGAACCCCGTAAAAAAAATATTACCTACTTATAGTCACGAAACCGTCTGTAACAACAAATATCCAAAGACCACTTTTTGTTACGATTTTCTGGCCTTTTGTTACGGAAAAATAGCGTATTTTGAAAAACAGGGGGTACGCTGCAATTGAAATTGTTCGTAACAAATGGACCTGCTGTGATGCGTATGATACGAAAATAAATTACGAATACAAAGATTGCTATAAACATCATCATCATTACGCCCCGCGCAAACATTAATTCATATTAAAATCTGAATTCCATACCTACCAACAAAGTAAAGCAACCCATAGAACAAGCCTACTAGTATCTACACATCAACAACCTGTTCCGCAAAACGTGCTTAACAGTTCAAACACAAGTAAACAACGCAATAAGCAAATACGGTTATCCATCAATCCCATTAGGCACATTTTTCACCATACGAATTCAAACCACAAAGGTCTACGCATCAATTCCAGACATAGTTCAACAAAAACTCAACACAATCCATCCAAAGACAGGTTCGACATTCAATCCATATGACAAACGGGGCAATTAACATGGGTGTATCGGTACCAACATTTCAAGCCCGGCGCATGAGCTGCAATTGCCAACACAGAGATTACTTTAAGTCATACTTCTTATAAATTTCGGAAGGCAATACAAGAAAGGTATTAAAGTAGATCCTTACGTCCTTGTAGCTCCACTCAATAGGATCTTCGCCGACGACATCGCGAAGGGTAGTCGCCCCAGAAATGGTCGGCAAAATAAGGGGTGTGTCCGGGACTGACGCGGATGTCACGAAGACCTTGACCAAGGAAAGTGTGTCACCTACAGCATTCACAAGAGCAATTTCTGATTACATTCAAGCATATATATCAACAGACGTTCGAACTGTATATATAACATGTCATAACACAGACATTATAAGTGTAATACTTTGGAACTAGAACAAGAGGAGTACGTACATTCAGACATGTCGTACAGTACATGGTATTACATTCACGAGTTAGGTAGCGAAGCACATTATACCCTAATTTCCTATGTAATTGCAGCTTGATCTTTAAACCAAACATCCTTCAATAAACATGGGTCGTCATAATAGCAGTTATTTTACCACCCCTACATTAACAGTCTACATCGCTTTGGAAATCCACGGATCGTATCATTGTATACTTCTACACTTAGTGAATCCATGCTAATACGCAATATGAGGCCTGAACAGTCACGAAAACCTACGATATCTCGCTGAGGCATATTAAAAGTTTAATTAAACATCCTCAAAGATACCGGACCAACCTGGCCCAGGGGGGCAGAGCAGAAGTCCCTCTGCAACAACTTTTTTCTCACCGGTGCGGGAAAATAGAAGCACATGTGTGCCGACCTACAACAGACAGGGCATATGAGTTGGATAAGGTAGTACGCAGTCAAGAGTAGCCTAAATTAGACACTGCACTGATTTCTAAGAAACTCCAGGGCGTCACGGAATCATACCGTCATGCTTGGCTCGGACACAGGCCTGGGAATCTCAGGGACTGAATCAATACGAGATGTGCCCTATCATATAACATGCCGATCATGGTAAATTCCTTCGCCATCCAAATCTCATGGGATACTCATACCAAACAGGTCAGGGATTATGAATACTTACTGCCTGGCCAGTAACCGCTCCGGAGTTTCTGTGCATGAATGCATACACATCAGCCTTGATGGTTTTGAACTCATCCATCATTGCCTTCAGCTCCTCCATTCCATTCTGTAGTTGTTCCCACCCATGCTGGAATGCTACACTGTCTGTTAAACCAGTTGACTCGCTGCGGGGATGAGCTGAACTTGCCGCACTGTCGACCTTTGACCGCTTCTTAATCTTTCCCCCAAGGGCCCGTCGGTACAGAGTCTCCCGAACAGAGGGAGTCCGCCCTTCAGGGGGAACCTTGTTTAGCTCATTCTGTAAATAAGTCTGCAGGAAAGATTTAAGTGAGGCCGAACTTGCTCTTGTTGTTAGAGATGTAAATACTGACTGAATTGTAACTAAGTTGGGAACGAATTTATTCTACCAATATCTCCTCGGTTTCTTGGTCATCCTTTCCCTTGCCTTGTGTGCGACTGGAAATCCAAATCTCCAGATTGTCGGGGTCCTTCCCCTTTGCCTTGATCTGCAGCAATACAAGGCCTTCTGTCATCGAAAACATAATGAAATACATGAGAGGAAAATATGGGGATGGCGCATGACATGACTAATTACTTAATTGTAATAAAAGGTATCTCCTCTGCCAGAGTCGTGAATGACTTCCGCCCAGTACGATGTGGAAAGCTTCTTTTCGCTACGTTCGACGCATTTTTCTTGGATTGAAGCTACGTCAATCAAAGTTATTTAGTTCTCAGTCCATGCCCGTGCAGATTTAACGTATATTAATTTGGCATGTCCCTATGCGTACCTTCACCTTCTCGTCGCGCCAATACTCAACCAACTTCGGCCACTGATCGGGCACAATCCTGCTTGAGGGAACCTTCTTCAGTGCTTCTTCATCGTCCTCGATCGGATTGAAGTAAGTTGATTTGATGCTGTATTTCCAGTGCCTCCAAACTTCCCTTAGGTCAGCCAAGACCACTTTCTCCGCTGAGTCTGGTAATCCGCTGTTACTCTGGAATGCCGTTTCACACGGTTTCCACCAGGTCCGGAGAAGATGGTAGGGCCATATATAAGAATCTATATGAAATAAAAGAACTTTCAATTTAATGAAGTTTGCATCACCTGAACCTCCATCCATGCACCCTGTCTCTTCGTCTCCGGTATCTCAGCGAACGTGGGGTAATGTAGAGGAAGTCGAGCTCCGTTGCGTGCAATGACCCCAATGGCTGTCTTGTACTCGTTTACGTCGGGTCCGACGATGCTTTTACCATCCGGCGATGTGAATACAAGCATCCTGTGATCTTTTCCCCATCCACGCGGCATTCGTGCCGCCCCTCTCCCCTGCTTTTTCTTTGACGAACCAGCTGACACAAACAGGAGATTACATGTTCTAATAAGGATATTACATGCAAAATATGAAGTCACTAAATGTAATCGGTAATCTTTGAAGGCTAATTTCCAAACCGTCGTGCGATGTCATCTCGTCCAATGGTGCCATATTGCCCGCCTCTGTTCCTGTCATCAGAGTGGGGTCGGAGCCTGGCCCTTCATCCAAGAGTGGCATATCACTCTCTGCAGTCTCCATGTCCTGCGTCGGCGGAAGTGTCTCGTCATCTGCTTGTGTGGGGGGGATTGTATCATCGTCATCCTGTGTCAGTGCCGTCGGATCAAAAGTGATGGAACATCCCTATCATCATGTTCCTGTTGGGGTTAACAGTGTCAGCCTATTGTAGTGTTATACTGAGAGTTCAAATAAGGACATGCTTTCGGCAAAGGAACCACATTACCTCCAAAGGGCCCTCTGAATCCTGAAGCACTGCCCTTCGAGTGGAAGATGTTGGCTTCATGCTTTGACCACGAGCATCGCGCTCTTTCTCCCACTCTGATGTGATGGACCGGAGTCGCTGGAGCAGTGGCGAGACCCGAGATCCCTTCCGTTTTGTCACTTTCTTTGTGGGATTGCGGATGGGCGATGGATTCCTGCTTGCGGGATGAGTTGCCTCTAGGGGGCTGTTACGTGCGGATGCCCGGGTAAAACGTCTTGCGGGAGAGACTGCCGGATCCTGTGACCCTCCAACGGCACCACGTTGAGATTTGCCCATAACCTGCAAGACACCAGTGTTAGTTGGCAGTATGAAAACGTATATTAGGAGAAAATCAAAACACGTTTGTCATATTCTGATATTAATCAACATAAATTCAAGCATGATGGTAGCTCATCCAACACTAAACATACATCCGAAAGATTCCTACCTTCTAAATCATAAAAAATATGAACAAAAAAACTAGGACAGAATGAAGGTTAAACAATCAAGCTACTACATTTCATTAAAAAGATATATAATTGAAAACACAACAATAGGTGACAAGTAGAAAAACAAGAAAAACTCCTCGGCCCACTTAAACATATTACCCTACCGTACAACTATATCAAACATTCAATTGGAGAAAATAAAATTTAAAAATGAAAGAAATTGGATGGAATGAATATAAAAGATAATTTTTTTTTAAAGAACCTCTTTAATTAAACTAATATATACTAAATATATATATCACAAAATTATCTATATATCTTATATATACATAGGAACGCACAGACCCAAACTAAAAGAAACCTACCAAATCCAACCATCCAAAGCCTAAACATGATTACAAAAACCATAAAATCCCAAGCAATTCGGCAACTCAAGCCATACCAACCTCCCACAACTAGACTAGATTAACAACAAACCCACTCCTTGAGAATAAATATCTCCTATAACCAATATTGCACCAATCATCCAATCCATGATCTCCAAACCGCAAACTCAAGCGCAAGGATATAACAAGCCACCAACCAAAAGGAAGAATCAACCAAAGATCACACCTGATATGTTCAATCCTCAATGCAAAGCCAACAATAAAAAAATCTACCTCCAAGAATCAAAACTATATGTGAAATCCCATGATGAGAACTAAACTCACAATATCAAAACCAGAGATGAACTTCCACTGCACCTGCCAAAGGAAACAACAAATCAAATAATGGACTGCTTGGATCAATCCAGCCTCCAATTCCATGACTTAAAGAAGCATCAAAATCAAATAAAACAAAAGTCACCAGCAACTCAGAGTTGAGGAGAATACCAGTCTAGATAAAAAAATAATGAAGTGGAATATCAAATGGATGCATAAGAATCCAAGATTCTTCCTTCAATGTTGCACACCCGAAAAACCATGCTGCCAACACCAACTCTGCACACCCCTCGCACTACTCAGTTACCTGGATGACTGTCAATCAAAATCTGATTTGAATAACTTGCCCATGCACCAACCTATTCGATCAAAGACAAACTACCATACACCAATATCAGCCTCCAACTCCATGACTTCAAGAAGCACCAAAATAAAATAAACAGAAGTCATTGGCAACTCAAAACTGAGGTTACTACCACCCAAGATATATGCATGAAACCAACACTTTCCAAGAATGATCACAACCAAATCGAACACAAATCACAACCATCTCACCAAAATTCTCACAATCTAGAGTGACTCAACTGCCACACACAAACAACAAGAAGAGCAACAAAGGCCAACAACCAAAACAAAATGCAGACACCAAAATAAAACAAGCCAGGTGAATGAGACATAAATAAACCAGAACATAGATTAATTGAATCATCAACCACAATCAATTTAAAGCTGAAAATTGACTCACAAGGCTGATGTAAAAATACTTAGAGAAAAATGTTTATGCTCGTTCTCTTATCTTAACTTTTCCAAATTTGCTTTGCTGGTCTAAACCTTCTTCTTTTTAATTTAGCAAACTCCTATCCAAGAAAATAAATATATATATATTATATTTCAAACCTATGGAAGCTACCCTGTAAGAACTGAAGAAAAGAGGAAAAATGCTAGAAGACAATACATGTATAAAAAGAGTAACAAATATAATTCAATAAAAGACTTTAATTTGATGCCATATCACAAGTAAGAAAAAGGCCCGCAGCGAGCTGATTTATTTTGTTATCCAATAAGAAGCCTACAATCTTATCAACTCGGAAGATATATAGAGTTGGTTTTGGATCAAGGGGGAAGAAATTAGCCGAATGAGCAATTGATCGAGCAGGTGGAGTGCAAGCTGAAGAGGCAGTTACGGAAGGGTAAGTTTGGGGATGGAGAGAATACCTACCAAATCAACCCGAACTTCATACTCAACTAACTAGTCAACACCATCAACACCGATGAAAATGAACAATAATGTACATAAAAATGGGGAAACAAATGAGAGGACAAATGACACTTATAGGGCTAGGAGGGTGAGGACACCTTCGCCGTCAAGGGGATAGGTGACCAATTGTCCCTGAAGAGGCATTGGAGATGGCGATTAAAAGTCATGACACCATTGTCGGCGCTCGACTCATAGGGCGAAGGATAGGGAACCTTTTTGATTCTCAAAACTATAAGCGAATCAACCATAACAGATGGTCAACAAAATCGAAGGACATATCGAGTACCAAAATAAGTTGGTGGTGGCTCCTCAACTCAACAGTGGTGAGCTGTGACGGCTGACGAACACCTTCGATTTCACCGGAAGGATGTAGGGCTTCGAAGTCGCAATGTCTATGAAGATGAGTGGAATAATTTTTGAAAGTGTGAATATTGTATAACTGAGGATATAAAAAGCATATGTTATTTGTTTTTTTTAATTTATTTTAATATAATTAAAATAAATAATTTTTTTATTAATAAAAATCATTTTTTTTCCTTTTCTTTAAATTTATTTTAATATAATTAAAAAGAATAATTTCAAAAATAAATTTATACACCATTTGTTACGAAGCACAATCGTAACTAATGTTATTTTGAACAAAGTCTACCAACTTCGTTTTTGTTACGGATTATTTTGCGTAATTAAAGAACCAAAAACGTTGACCAAGATAATATTTTTTGGTAACGGAAGTTGTCGTAACAAAAACCATTATTTGTTACGATGTTATTGTAACGAACCATCAAGCCGTGGCGAAAGACCATTTTTTTGGTAGTGATAATTGCTAAATTCAACTCACTCGAGCCATATGTATATATATATTGCTTTCAATCATAGTTTCGTTATTTCAGTTAATGACATAAACGTTGGCATATGCCTTTTTGCTCCGATGCGTCGTTAGATTCTGCTTCAGAAATGTTTCTTCTAAGTTTTGTTTGTTGTTTGCATTGATCAATAGATCAGCTGTGCTGAGCTGATTGCTAATTTCTGAAGCTTCGAAGAATGAATGATCTTATCAAAGTCATGGTTTTTAATATTATCTGGATTTTGGGATAACATATATTGTGAAAAGGCATCAAAGATATACAACTTACAACTCATAGGTCTTGAGAAATCAATAAATTATGTATAGATAATAGATGAAATTCATGAAACTTTCTTTGTAGACGATATTGAGCTGCTTCATGTAAGAATTTCAAATACTTTTTGTGGTCATCTCTTACAAATTTTCAGCATTAAGACATATTCTTTCAGTAAGTATAAATGTGTCGTTAGATGACATTTGGTCTGCAATTTGAGAATAAAGTATTGTTGAGGCTTGAGAGGTTACAGAAGCCAGAATCTATATGCTACAAAGGCCACTAAAAGATCAAAGGATCCTCTTCATTATGAAGTATTTGAGCTTCCACACCACAAGCCTATGCCCTGTTTAGATGTAGCAATAATTTATTTATTTTTTTGGCATATCGAATTTTTGCCATTTCTTTTGGTTAATCTGTTGTTTCTCTCATTCTTTGCTCGGTATATATGACTCTTGATTGGCTGCTTGTGAGAAGTCTCACGTACCCAATTTAAAAGATTTAATATCAGCCTTGGGTGTTAATCTGTATGAAAAATTAATTTATGATGTGTAGTCCTTTGAAACAACTTCCAAGTAATTCCATGCTGTGTAATTAGACATTCTTTTCAGCTTATGAATCAATGGAGTTTTACTGGTGCTATATGAATTTCATCTAGTGACTGGATCTGTGATCTAATCTGCTGGGTTCTTAAGCAGCATATTGAATTAGAAAATGAAGAGGGTCGAATCTGCTGCATGTATAATTTGAGTCTGATTGTCATGTTGTATGAATTCCCAAAATGTGAAACAAGAGTGGAAAATGTTAATGTCTGCACCCAATAACCATTCAAACTCCAAGGGTTCGGTTCTTCATTATTCTTTGGGTTTAAAGGGCTACAAACTTTTTTAGATTCTGTTACACCAGCCCCCCTTGATACTCGTCGTGTGAGTTTTCCTTTTCGGTAGCAGCAGCATCAATATTGATTCAAACTTTCATCCTTTGGAATAGTAAGTGATTCAAAATTACTATTTATTCATTTATGTATTTATTTGGCCTTGTTAATTAACTAGTACATTGCATAAAGCATAGAAGCCATGGATGACTCATGAGTTTGAGCTGATATATATTTTTTTATTTTGCTTATTATGCCCCTTATTATCAATCAGAATCATATAATATAGGTGGAGCCAAAGACACGATTGCAATTGGTTTATTGAGTTTATTGTAAGCAAACAAAGAAAATCTCGCAATTGCAGTCCCAAGAGGTATTTTCCTTGAATCTGTATTATATTCTCTAGTAGTTTGTTTTTTATTCTCTGATAACAATGAATACATTATGAATAAATTATGATTGATCTATCAAAGAGAAAAATTGTGTATGTTTTTAATATAAGTAATTCTTTATTATGAGCTTAATTTTTTCTTTATATATCCATTCTTGTTTATCAATATTTTGAAAATCATTTTTAGAAATTTGTATTTTCTGCAGAATATAAATGCGACATGAGTACTACGCGGTCTTGGATGTACAATAGAATGCAAAATGGTATTCTGAATAGGGATATTATTGTTGGGGTAGACAATTTTCTTAAGTACTGTATGACCAGTCCAGAGGTGTATAGGATCGATGGTAACATAAAATGTCCATGTAAGCGTTGCAAGAATATCAGATTTCTTCCTTTTGATGATGTAAAATACCACTTGTACTCAAGATGATTCGTTCGTTTTTATGAAAGATGGACACGTCATGGTGAGGAGCATGACGGGAGTGGTAGCTCTAATCAAT